ATAGGCAGCCGGAAATAGCCACTCCAGTCTCCCTTGTCTCTGTCGATAATACCATTCTGCCTATATCACACGCCGCTGTGCGGCTGCTGGTTGGGCTCAGGAAAGAGCACGTATAAAACACCAGACGAGTGAGTTCCGCAAAAAAGATCGGTGAGCGCTTCCTTACAGTTTGTACATTCCTGACTGCAACCGACAACGTACCCGTGGCCCACAGGTAAGGGACGATAGACTTCTAACCCATAGGGTGCGGTATCGAGCTTCGGGTGTTCCACGCTTCGAGGTTGGGTGTGACTGACTGATGACGGCTAATAGGCCAGAAATGGCCATTCTAGTCACTCATGTCATCCGAAAAAGTTAAACAAACCGTCTATTCGCGCCACAAACCAGGTTGTCGATGCGTGTTACACATTACAGGGGACCCGCAGATAGTGTACAGTAGGTGGGCTAGGTCATGAAATGTCAAACAAAATTCCAAAATTTCTTTTCGTTTTGAAAAGACTAATTAAATAGTGTCGTTAAAGAAATCATCTTGCAGCATAATTCTATAATAATTCAGTTACCTCGAGATGCTGGCTTTCGAACCAACGTCTTTTCGGTCGCATGCAAAACTCATGCCCTGAAAAAATGACTACTCACGTAGCATGCATCTTTCTCATTGATTTTAGATGTTCTTAAAAATTCAATTATATTTCACAAAAACATGCATAAAATATTCATTCTTTTGCTCATTCGTTAGAACATTACGTCTTCTTCCAATTTTGTACCCGAAGGAATGGTATAAATCGGTTTTAAATGTTTTTTATGGTGAGTTTTTTTACTACCGTGAAATGACCGTCCATAAAACGTCATGTCTCTGCATTCACTAATGTGGTTTGTAAAGTCAGTAATATGGCTCAAATTCACTGCAAAATTTTATGAACTCCCTATGGTCTCCTCTTAATACCGTAAAGAAATCCATGGTTTTCTGTACGCGACAAATATGCAACTTAGATGCAAGTGTAACGGCAGATCGGGGTTCAAAATTTTTCAAGAGTTGGAAAAGTTCTTCGAAACCGAATCGTACTCCTCTTTCGAGTATAAAATTGGAAGAAGTAATCTTCTACAGAATCAGCAAAAGAAGAATAGTTTTATGCCTGTTTTATATGAAACATAACTGAATTTTTTAGGACATCGAAAATCAATGAGAAAAATTCATGCTACTTATACAGTCACATTTAAAAGTGCAGTTTCTGCGTACAGTCGAAAAGAAGTTAGTTCAAAAGCCGACATCCTGAGGTAACTGAATTGGTATAAAATTATACTGCAGGATGGTTAGTTTTACAACCCTACTTAATTAATCTTTTGGTAACCAGAACGCATTTTGGAATTTCGGTTGACATTTCATGAGTTGGCCCGCCTATTGTATAAGTGGGCGATGTCACGAAGGTGGCAGTATGGCTGAGCCAACGCAGTTTGATCCTCATTTTGAATGAGAGCCAAGTCTTCACATCAGCCGGCACACCGTAATTTCTTACAGGATAATTGACTATTCGCAGTGAGGAGGCTAACACTGAATCCGGTCAGATCGGTTTCACTTCTTCTTGTTCTTCTTCCATGCATCAGAGACGTATGCCAGTTCTCTCCTACACGTGAAGCACTTATGCACGCATTAAGTAAGCACTTAAACAGACTGAGCTCGTATGCCAAAATTTGTATATTGCCGTGAAATAACCATTTTAGTCTTAAAATATCTCTGAGGTCCACAAATTGACGGGTCCACTCAGTCTCATTTACTGATATGACCTGTTTGTGTTTTAAATCCCACTCCGGTATAGTTTGACCGGTCAGTCGCACAGTGCGCGAGAGTTTATTTGATTGTTAGCCAGATAAGACCAGGTTATTAGCGTGGCAGACTTCAAAAACGCTGTCTTAGAACGACAACTTTATACGCATCTGAATTCCCCAAAATACGGGCCTCTAAGTTGCGTGGCACTCCATCGAAGCTTGAGTAATTTACCCAGGGATTTGGAGACACCTCTTCCGATACCCACAACGTGATACTAGTATTTGCTATGCACTGTAGGTAGTTTTTTATTACCAAAAGTTCTTCAACAAATTACGTGTCAATTCGCGTGAAACTTTTCACAGAAAGTTGCGGCAAATCTCGCACCTGATTGGCAGCTTCACTGATGCCGACAAAGATAACTGGTTGGAACCTCAGTAGTGTTCGCTTATAGCAAACCCGAGATAAAAACGCCTTCTTGATGGAAAGCAGGAATTTATGCCCGAAACTTCAACGCCTAGAGTCGTCGAAAACAGACCTCTGCACAAACAGCTAGTCAGAATCAAGGCTAAATACTTCTGATAGGTGAGCTCCCAGTTTCTAGATTTGTTTAATAAGTAGAAGGTACGTTTTTCCGCGCCCGGTTGCGAAATTAGGACCTTCGAAGGGATCAGAGGACTACTGTATAGAAAGGAAAAGAGTTGAAATGCTTGCCTTCGCGGCCTTAGCCGGTGTCTGTGTCAGTTCCCCGGGCGCACTAGAGAAAAGTCAGGACAGTTCTTCACAGACAAGGCATAACGGGACGATCATGTCACTTAACCTAATAGGTGAGCTCCTCGCTATCATAATGCTAGTATTCCTGATTACAGCGGACGAAACAACAAGGCCGTATCTCAGTGGTAGTTTTAGACGCAGTGACCAAACATCTGGGGTTCGTATTCTAGGTGAGATTGGTTATGGAAAGTTAGTGACGGTCGATAAGCTAGAAATGGCTATTCTGATATCCATCGCCTTCGTCGGTATTCCATAATCAGACATGTCTACATAAATTTGCCGTGGAACTATAGCAAAATAGCTTTTTCATCTAAGGTCATATAAATCAGTTTATTTTAGAAGGGGCTAGGAAAGCCCCTGTCGTTTAGTTTTCCAATCGACCATGCGCAAGCAGTAATGAGGTGTTATAGAATGCTTCTCTGAAATGCCTGGCCCGTAAAATCTGACTTTTTTTTGGTAAGACGTGGTCATGTAGCCCCACCAGATGGACGTAATACTGTTGGGGTTGAGGTGTGGTTGGGGATTAGAATTAGAGGTTAGGGTTGTGGTTAGAGGTTAAGGTTAGGGGTTAGGTCAACTATTTCTCCATCACTCAAAGTACAACCGCGCATTCCCAATAGCTTATCTTTTGCATACAACTACCTGAGCTCATCGCCTGTGCGTTCCCCGGCCCACCTGTAAAAACCCCCTATTACCACTTATCCCGTACTACAGGTGGCTAGGGTTTGTATACCTCAGATGGAGCTTCATAACCACATCTGGCCTTTATTAGCCTACTGGCATGATTGTTAAAAAACTCATGGGACATCGTTGTTTCAGAGCCCGCGACGGCCATAGAAGTGCATATCAGGTGTTTAAAAACGGAACTTAATATTTCATATAAACTTTGGCTAACAGGGATCACCTGTAATTAGCGTAGACTTGAACGACTAATATATTCCGGAATATCCTCGTGGACCTGAGTTAACTGCATGAGCTAACTGTTCTCTGTCGTCAGTCCTCTTAAAATTATGGTTAAAATGAATCCTAAAAAAGCACTCTAAAACTCCAAAGGCGTCGAAAAATATTCCCGAAAAACTTGAAAATGTGACCGAATACACTGACAGATGTTTGAACCCGCCGTCAGCAGCCGTAGTTCGGTTTTTGGCATGTTTAGCCCCACCGATATCTCTGTTGGTCTCTGTTATGTAAAATGCACCCACAAACAAAACTTACTAACCTGTGCATAAGTGGTGCTGCGGCATTTTTTGAAGTGACGGCCAAGGGGGAGGGGAAATCGCACCTATACGTGATAAGTCGGACTTTATATCAGATTAAAAGGCAATCTCGAAGTCCAAAAGATCAACTGTGCTTTTTTACTGAAGGCAGAGTTCGCAACTCACCTGCTAAGACACTCCTTGACAAACGACAGCCGCGCACGCACAGGACTGGGGGTGGTCCGGGACTTCAAACAAGCATGCAACGAATCGGGATTTTATGATTTCAAAAATTATTACCGTGTACTATTGTCGACAGGGACTAGGCAACCTACAAGGGTGCCTTCTGGGACATTTGTCGTCAAAAATAAAACCTAGCCCAATGTTAACAGACCGACGTTCTGCGTTTTGCAGTGAGGCCATATCATTTAAAACCATTATTGCGCGACTGGATATTTGCGATCACAAGCAGTGACCACAAACCTAGAGTGCTAGACGCCAAAAACAGCTGAATCAGCGTTTCAACATCGGGTCCCCTAGGGACATGGCTGCCTAAGGATGGAAAGGAAGTTTAAAGTTGTCATTCTGATTGACTGTAGATTTTCGGCTTGTTATGAAAATATATCACGTTGCAAAGCGGGGCTCCAGGGAAAGACGGAAGGCATTACGACAGGTAAACGTTAGTCCTCTTCTTTCGGCCGAAGTTGTACACTGCTCATAAAATAGGCTCAAGCCAGCGATAAAGGCGGACCCTTACCTGTTGTCGATCAATCACACTGTTCTGTGTACAGTTGATTTCCTAAAGCCGTCTTCAGGGCCAAAGTTACTGATACGTCTTCAAAAGGGGATGTATAACCTGAAGCTTGGATCCACCATCGAATGTCCAGAATGCCGACTTTACCGCCTCGACTACCTCTGAAAATCAGAGCACGCCATGCGCGTTTGGCGCGAACTTTAGTCTTGTACTGACATAATGCTAAAGCGAGTTCACGTGGCACTAGGCTTTCAAAACATCCGCCTGTCCGAAAACCGATCATCAGTACCTCTTTGAGGCGCACAGCTGGACAATTTATTGTGAACTTTCAGCAAAAACTCAGAAGTATGGCAGTCTTAGATGTCATTCTGAGGAAAAAACCAAAATGTGCTTGTACTCAAAACATCCTATCAGGACTGTTGGGTGAAATGTAAATTTTTTAAAATGATCCGTGGGGTCATTCTCCCAGAAGAGCACTTTAGGGCGTTTCATCCGGACAAGTAACTGTCAAGTATCACTCATTCCCCGGCATAGTCCAGTCGAATTGCAGATCGTATTTGTAGCCTCTTTTATCGAGTACTCGCCAAAATAGGCTTCTCAGGTACCGGTACTTGGGCTCCTCTTCGAAAGCGAGATTTTTGCAGTAATTGAGATATTTGGCGAACTCCTCTGGCAGCCCTTCACACAGAGACTCTGTTTTGACACTCATCTTCTTCTTATATATCTTCCTGAACTTCTCTCGTTTACTGTCTGCTTGAAGGCCTTGCCAGGGCAGTTTACCACGAAGGAAGTAGACAAAGACATAGCCAAGCGATTCCAGATCATCCCGCCTCGACTGTTCGTAGCCTGCGTGGGCGTTAACACTGCAGTAACGCGCAGTTCCAGTGAGGTTTCGAAAGTCCTTGAATGGACAGTGTTCTTTAGTCTTGGGGTCCATATAAAATTTAGAAAGACCAAAATCAATAATATAGACGGTATTAAAGTTTGGTCCGCATCCCATAGCAAAATTATCCGGCTTAATGTCGCGATGAATGAGACAACGCTTGTGCAGCGTCTCTACCCGCTTTATCATCTGGTCTGCCAGGAGGGCAACCGTTTTCAACGAAAATTTACAGTCACAAGAGACATGCAAATCCTCCAGACTTGGCCCCAAGTACTCCATGACAAGAGCAGTGTAGAAGTTCTGTTCACCATCGCGACCGTACCAGAAGAGTTTGGCCACACCGGGGCAGTCCTTCAAGAGTCGCAACAGTTGGCATTCTGTTTGAAGCTGCACTGGTGCACCATGACGGAAAAATTCCATCTTCACCGCAGCCTCCTCTTTGGTGATCTTGTTGATGGCATGGAATATCTCTCCGAAGGAACCCGCCCCAATCCTCTTCATCAGCCTCCATTCCCTGTTGACTAGAAATTCGCCTGGGTTATCATCTGCTCTGGATTCTGAGTGGGATCTACTTCTGCCCATCTGTTGCGCCTAAGATGCATCTGTCTCCCTCGTAGCCATAAACTAGGCTAGCCTAAAAGACTGCGACTCCGCCTAGGGAAGAAAACAACTGGCCTTGAAACGACGGCGCACAGGAGGTATCGATTTGAACTTTGAACGTGCGACCCACGTGAGTAACGCAGAACACGTGGAACCTCTGCCGATATAAGTGCCAATAGGGGTGGCGGGAATTAGTCCGCTAGGAATCGAGCACGCGTTCGGGTCGCCGGTGCTGAAGTAAATAAAATTTATTTATGTGCAAATAAATCTGTAGGCAGAATGATATTACCGACAAAGACAAGAGAGACTGGAATGGCCATTTCTGGCTTATTGACCGTCGTCAACCAGTCATATCCAACCAGGAAGTGCGGAACGCCTGGGGCTCGAACTCGCGCCATGTTAGAAGTGCACGCCTCTAACCACTGGGCCATGAGCCCGTTGCCCTGTCGGTTTTCGATCGGGAATATACAATGAGCGTCCCCTACCATTGCATATTCCCGATCGAAAACCGACAGGGCAACGGGCTCGTGGCCCAGTGGTTAGAGGCGTGAACTTCTAACTAGCAGGTCACGAGTTTGAGCCTCGGGTGTTCACACTTCCGGGGTTGGGTACGACTGGCTGGCGACGACTAATAAACCAGAAATGACCATTCTAGTCTCCTTTGTCTTTGTCGGTAATAACAAACCGCCCATATCATGCGCCGCTGTGCGGCTGATGGTTGGGCTCAAGAAAGAGAGAGAGAGCCCGTAAGGCACAACGGAACAAGTTAGTTTCCTAAGAACGATCGGTGACCGCCCCCTACCATTAAATAAACCTGTATTTTTGGCATTTATAGCTATACAAGCAATTGGAGTAGCACAGTTGGCAAAACAGACCTGTGGAAATTAACGCCGCACTGAAAAATGTTTTTGTACCTTGTGTGTTCTCGTGAAAACTCTAGGAAGAGACAATCCTAAAAAACGCTTCGGATTTTTTTCGTAAATTTCATGTCCTGCAGATTCCTCAGGTAGATATCGTTTTTTGCATTTTGTTGATCAAAACGATGCGTTTTGATTTGGGCATTGTGTAGCAATCAAGTGGTGTGAGAAGTTTGCCCCCTCCCACCAAACGGGCCACGTGGTAGATGCGCTGGACCAACACGGAGGCTAAGTCGGATTCTGGCAGGCGTTATCAGATTTACACACCATAAAAAATACCAACATTTCGGGGTGCGGTGGCAGACTCAGTTGCCAGTAAACGTCGCGAACACTAGGACCTCTGCTGCTCGCCCCTACTGTTATTGTTGGTAAAAATCCTGGTCGTTTACCGTGTGGACCAGGAGGTTTGGAGTGGAGCGTCAGGGTGCGGGCTCAACCACGCCACCCACCCGCGCCCTCTCCCGCCTCCGATTTTCTTGACCCTTTCCTGACACCGGGTCCAGGTGGGCGACGAGGAGAGAGTGCGATGGATGCCATGCAAGTGTACTACCACTATAAACTAACCCACGAACAAGTCACCGTGCCTGCATCACCTTGCTGCAAAGCACACAATGGACATCGTCGGCAACGACGGTCGAACTGTCGTGTGGCAATGAATAGTGCTGGCCTAAACCCTATTGTTTTTTATCTATACAGGCTAGGTACTGGCTTCGGGAGGGAGGGTATGCGGTAGTGTGCTATAGAACTTTATTGAAAGGCAACTGAGGTGAGTGAAAAGCAGCCTTTGCTTTACCGCAAATCAAGTAAACAAAACAAACAAAGATAAAGAAAATATACAACCAGATAAAACAGTTAACTTAAGAATGTGATAGCTCGTTGGTGGTGGCGCACTTACCACTCCGACGTGTAGTGAAATGTTGACTGAAATTACGAAATATGTTTTAGATTAGGAAGGTTTACTTACGTTGGGTTGAAACATTCATTATCATGGGACATAATCCTAATATATTCCGACCCGACAGGATGTCAGCTCTTGAAAGCTCTACATTTAAGTCTTCTGTAGAAATTGTAGTCGGTAGAAAATAACTACTTACGCGGCATGCATTTTTTAAAATGCTTTTCGACGGTTTTGAAAATTTAACTAAATTTTATAGAAACCACGAACACAAAATATGTTTTTTGTTTCAGTTGTTTGTTAAAGAATCACATCATCTATATATTTTTTACTCGAAAAAAGAGTAAAATTAGGCTTTGAAAAGTTTTCTAATTCCCAAATAATTTGGAGCCAGATCAGCCGTTGCATTAGCGCTTAGTGATTTCAGTCTACAAGGTGCATTTGTTCCCTGTAAAGAAAACCACATATTTTTCTATGCTTTTTGAAAGATACTATATAGGATCCACAAAAGTTTGCAATGGATGCGGACCATGTTGTACATTTCATGAGGCGCGGTGGTAAACAGACAGGCACGATGCTGTATGAATGAAAATTGCACGGTCTTGAAAAATCTCATAATTAGAAACTTTTTCAAAACCTAAATATACGCTTTCTTCGAGCATAAAATATAAATACGACGTAATTCTTTATCAAACCACTAAAAGAATACTTATTTTTGTTGGTGGTTTCTATAGAACATATTTGATCTTCCAAGACCATCGAAAATAAGTGCGAAAAACGCATGCTACATAAGAAGTCACTTTTTACCAAACACGGTTTCTACGGGAGAATTTAAAGCAGTGAATTCAAAAGCTGACGTCCGACCAAGCCCGAAATATTATGGAGTTATGCCGCAAGGAAATCCGTTTTGCGACCGAGCTTGAGTAATCCTTTCTAATCGAAAACGCATTTCAGAATTTCGGTCAACTTTTTATGAGATCGGTCACTCACTGTACTTCGTAGAGTGAGTCGAAAGATATGAAAGGACGAAGGAGGACTCAAAATGATCATCCCGCCTGCTGATAATGTACGAACAATGAGAGAACCAAGGTCCAGCTTGATAAAAGAGGTTTTTTCAGACTGGGACGGAACTTACAGTAGCAGATCCGCCAAATAGACCACATGGAGAGTTCGCTAGCAGAAATATAATCATACAGAACGAATGCTCCCAAATAAAAGCAATTGGCCCTAGTCTTTCCCGATTCTGTGTCTTGTCAAAAACCCATTAATTAAATGTCCCTCTGCGGCCAACTATTGCTCTAAAGGACAGTCTTACCCATAATTTGGCTAAGTGGATGTACCCCAGACTGAAGTGCCCCCCACTACAATCCGACTACCACAGTACGACTGGTCTCTCAATTCAGCCGGATGCATTTATGATCTCCATCGACGTGACGCCGTTGTTCACTTTCATTCCAACAAATTTGACACACGAAGTCCCATGCAAGAAACATAAAGGGTCCGCTCAAAACTGAACACCTCACGAGGCTGTTCGATGTTTTCTAAAACAAAGGTTCTTCACACCCTGCTGGAACGATCCACGAGCAGATCGGAGAAACTCCAATGGGGGCCCCGGTCTCCGGCGCGCGGGTCTTTTAGCGCTGTATCCTTACCGACAAGTTTGTTACCGTTGGGAGCAAAGACAGCGGAGCTTCCCCTACCTACACAACTTAGTAGATGTGCTAACTCATGGATTGTTAACCGAAATTCTGAAATGCCTTTTAGACTCAAAACGATTGCTTAAGTAGGGTTGTAAGATTGTTCATCGTACAGTATAATCCTCTAATAATGCAAATACCTCAGGATACCGGCTTTTGAATGATCTTCTTTTAGGCCGCCTGCAAAAATGACTACTCAGTTAGTATAATTTTTTTTCAATTTATTTCGATCCCTTATAAATTCGAATATGCTTCATTAAAGACTTGCATATAATATTAATTTATTTACTCGTTCGGTAGAAAACTACATCTTTTTAAAATTTATTATTTGGGAGGAGGGGTGAAATACGGCCTTTAAAAACTTTTCTACTGCAAATAAATTTGAACCCGACCCGCCGTTTTGCTTGCATTCAGGGTTTCCAAACAACAAGCTGTAAATTTTCCGTGTACCGAAAGTCACACATTTTTGTAGTCTATCGGAAGGAGACCATATGGGATTCATACAGTTTAGCAGTGGATTTGAGCCAAATTGTAAACTTTACAAGCAACATTAGTAAATGCAGAGACGTGACGTTTTATGAACGGGCATTTTTCGGTCCGAGAAAATCACATAACTAGAAACTTTTTAAAACCGAATTGTACTTTTCCTCCAAGCACACAATTCGAAGAAGACGTAATTTTCCATCAAACATGTAAGAGAAGGAATATTTTTATGTAAGTTTTCTACAAGACATATTTAAATTTACAAGAGTATCGAAGAACAGTGAGAGGAGCTCATAATACTTGAGTAGTCATTTTTACAGAGTGCTGTTTTTGTAGCCGGTCGGAAAGAAAATCGCGCAAAAGCCGTCATCTTGGAGCAACTGAATCATCCAGGAATTATGCTGCACGATGATAAATATTACAACCATACGTAAGAATTTTTTTTGAGTCGAAAACGTATTTCAGAATTTTGGTCAACATTTCATGAGTTTGCGCTTATACTGCACAATTCGAAGGTAGGAAGAAAAGTGGTCAGCTGCTGCCTCCTGTCTCGACGTTCTCGGCAAGCAAAGTTCTAACTACGAACCGGAGACCACTGCTTCCAGTCGGGTAACGACTAGCACGCAACTCCTCAGTTTCCTCAACAAACGCCCTGTGACTCACAAATGAAACCTTGTGAGAGCGCTCCTGGACGGATTTGGCCTCGTGTGGTAGCCTGGAAAAGAAACTATGCACGGCCCTCGACTAACTTATGCGAAATGGCTTCCTGAAGTCGCCTATAACCCAATGCCTACGTGTTCTCCTTCGGAGTACCCAAACGAAAACCGGTGCCAAGGGTATGACATGCTCGCCCATCCAAAAAAGGGTTAGATGTGGTTATGTGGCCCCACATGAAGTAAACAAACCCCAGCCACCGTTAATGTTGGAGCGGTGGTAATAGGGGTTTTTACAGGTGGGTCCGGGGATTGCACTGGTGACAAGGCCAAGTAG